AAGGTTTAAGAAATTCAGAATTCATTTCAATGAAATGATGCATAATCCTTCCTTTTCCAGGTACAATTATTTTTATACCGTGTACTACAAAGGCTGTAATTTCAGGTACACTTCCTCTCCCACTGCAAAATTTCTTTCCGATCATTTTTTATCAGCTTTTTGTTTCATGCGATTGGTTGCATGTTCTAAATGAAATTTGACTAGTCTGCGAATGTCATCTCTAGTCTTCATTAATTCACTGACAGAATGCACTGGTGAGTCTGATTGCCATACCATTGTAGGAGGTGCATATCCATATAGAGCTTGAAATGGTGTCAACTTTAGGGCTGTATGATAGGTGGTATTATACCACCACTCTGCATGAGATAACCATTTAGCCCACTGCTTTGGTTGGGAGAAACACAACCCTCTTAGATACTGTTCAAGACACTGATTCACCCTTTCACTTTGTCCATCCGTCTCTGGGTGGTAGGCAGTACTAAATAGAGTCTTAGTACCTAACTTCTTCATTAGTTCTTTCCAAAAAAGACTAGTGAAGGTTTTATCTCTGTCTGAAATGGCCACTTTAGGCTGGCCATGCAACTTATAAATGTTGTCTAAGTAGAGTTTAGCTACTTCAGCAGCAGTATAAGGATGTGATATTGCCACAAAATGACTGTATTTTGTGAACTTATCCACCACCACTAAGATACAGTTCTTCTTCAAAGAAGTAGGTAAACCTTCTATAAAATCCATAGTGATAATTTCCCAGGCCTGTTGAGGAATATGCAGTGGCTGAAGTAAACCAGGTTTAGCAACATGCTCCACTTTAGTTTGCTGACATACTGGACAAACCCTCACATAAGTAGCCACCATTGCCTTAAGTTTAGGCCAATAAAAGTAACTTCTAATTATTTGATAAGTGGCCTGAGTTCCTGAATGACCTCCATGAGGTGAGTCATGTAAAGTTTGAAGAATCTGTAGCCTAAGAGAGCCTTTAGTACCAATATAGACCCTGTCTTGAAATCTGAGAATTCCTTTGGAATATTTCCACTTAGAATCAGCATTAGGAGACACAGTCAGAATAGAAATCCACTCAGTAGCCAATAAATCATCCTTGTAACTCTCCTCCACTTCTTGTACCCAAGTAGGAATAACTAGAGTAGTTCCCATGACAAGACTGAGCTTGTCTTCCCATTGCCTGGATAAAGCATCTGCCACAATATTGGATATACCTTCCTGTATTGGATAGTGTAATCCAATCCCAATAATTTGTCAGCCCCCTTTTTTGAATAGCAGTAGTGAGTTTCTGCTCCAATAAGTATTTAAAGGCTCATGATCAGTTTTGATGATAAAAGGTTTGCTCTCTAAATAGTGTCTCCACTTGGAGACTGCTAATAAAATAGCAAGGTATTCCCTCTCATAAATAGACATAGCAGCATGGCATTGATTGAGAGCTTTACTTAAAAATGCTATAGGTCTGCTGTGATAAAACAGCCCCTATGCCTCCAAACTAGCATCAGTCTCTAAAAAATCTTAGTAAAGTCTGGTAGAGCTAACACAGGTGCCAGACCATAGTTCTCTTCAGTTCTTCAAAAGCAGTCAAAGCTGCACTGTTCCACTTAAAACAGTCCTTTTTCAGCATCTGAGTCAAAGGTTTACTAATTGTCCCATAATCTTTTATAAATCTTCTATAATATCTTGTCAACCCCAAAAATCCCCTCAATGATTTTAAGGATTTAGGTAAGGCCAATTTCTCATTGCTTCTATCTTGCTAGGATCAGTAGCAACACCAGCAGCTGAAATATATGGCCTAAGTACTCTACTTGGGTCTGACCAAAGAAACACTTAGATAGTTTTGCAAATAGTGATTACTTTGCAAAACATCCAAAACTAATTGTAAATGCAGAATATGGTGTCATAGAACTGCTAAACCATATACCATCAAAAAACACCAAACAAACTTCCTAAGGAATGAACTAAATAATATTCATCAAAGCCTGAAATGTTGCAGGAGCATTAGTTAACCCAAAGGGCATTACCTTAAATTCATAATGACCCTGATGAGTTCGGAATTCTGTTTTATAAATGTCCTCCTCTTTAATTTTGATCTGCCAGTAACATGATCTTAGATCAATTTTTGAAAAGTAGACAGCCCCATGTAGCTCATCCAATAATCCTCAACAACAGGAATAGGAAATTTATCCTTAATTGTCATGCTGTTCAACTGCCTATATCAACACAAAACCCCAAGTACCATCCTTCTTTTTAATGAGAAGGCATGGAGAAGCAAAAGGACTTTTGCTAGGTTGAATAATAAGAAATAACATAGCAGCAATTGTTTTTCCACTTCAGCTTTTTGATTATGAGGAAATCTGTATGGCCTTAAATTAACAGGCATAGAATCAGGCTTTAAAGTGATAGTATGATCATGAGTTCTTGTAGGTGGAAGACCTGTAGGCTCAGCAAAAATAGAATTGTATTTTTTCAATAATGGTTGAATAGTTGTAGGAGTAGGTCTTGAACCTTCTGTCATATTCATCAAAACAGCATACCCCAATAAAGCAGAATTTGAAACTGTCATCTTTAATAGTGTAGCTCCTGAAATCTGTTGCAAAAATTCGAGGGCTGTTGGCCATTGATAACAATTTGTTCATCCTGATGTACAAAACTGAGTGTCGTTTATTAAAGTCCATAAGATAGGACTGACTAACTTCATCCAATCCACACCTAGGACCATATCACTTCCCCTAACTGCAGAAGTCTAAAATCATGAATAAAAGAATGTCCCTGCATTTGCCATTCCACCCGTTACACCTAGCTGTACTGAAAAGCTGCTGTCCATTAGCCACTGTAATAGCTAAAGGATATGGTGTTACCTGAATCCTTGCATCAGCCCACTGAGGTTTAAAAAACTGTGGGTGCTACCACTGTCAATTAATAGTTCAATGGCCTGCCTAGAATAGTGCCTTGAATCCTTAGTGTATTATGACCAATACACCCGATATAGCATTCATAGAAATTTCTAGGCTCTCCTCATCTTGTAACACTTGCTGTTCTAACTCATTTGGTAAAGTTTCTGAAGATAAACAGGTTCGTCCTCAATCATCATATTCAATTGCTTACTTACATGATGCCCTGGAGAGAACTTTTCACCACACTTATAACATAGGTTGTTTTGTCTCCTGTACTCCAACAATTCTGTTTTGGAGGCAGATTAGCTGAACTTTTCTGTTGTGGATTTGAGAAATTAGGTTTAGTACTAGGTAATGGTTTGGGTAGGGTGGGTTTCTAAAAAATGCTCTCCCTCTTTTATCTCATATTCCACAGAAAGCTCATATAGTTTAGCTTGTCTGCAGCTTCAGAGAGTGTCTTTGGCTCCAAAACCTTAACTCTATGCTTGATATCTTCTCTTAATCCACTAATAAAAGAGAGACAAAAACTCTTCACCCAGAGTAGGATTCTGTAACAGCATATGAGGCTGAATTCTTCAAACCTGTCCTGTATTCCTCTACTGATCCCTTCTGCACTAACTTTGATAATTCCTCAACTATGTCAGCAAAGTACCTATCACAAATCTATGGCAAAGATCTGCCTCAAATTCATGCCATGTCACATGATGTTTCTGCATATATACCATCAAACCAAACCTTGCTTTCCTAGTTAGGTACATAGTGGCTACTTCTATCCTCTGCTCATTAGGAACATTACACAGAGAGAAATATTTAAGACATTTTTGAAGCCACCCCCTAGGATTAACCCCTTCAAAAAATGGCACTCAATTTTAGGCCTATGCCACATAGACCCTGAACTTATAAAAACTTCCTGGACCTCTTCTTTCAGTTTCAGACCCCAACAATTTAGGTCTAGATTCACTATTTTCACCTAACTGATTCCCATTTTTTAAGACCACACAATCATCAGGTTTGCTTTTAATATCCAGGCTCATCCGGTTTATAAGTGATCTTGATTTATCTTTTACCACAGTCACCAAAACAGGACTTTGTTCTCCATTTTAGAAGCATTAGAAGTTGTACCTGTTCACCAGCAACATTTTCCTGCTCACCCGTCCTGCCTGTTAGAATCTTCAACAACTCTTCAACATAGCTTTGATTAGTAGCCATTCTTGATTCCATTGCTGTGATTCTGTTTTCCTGCACTTCCCACCACTTAGGTGGATTAGTCTCGTCCCTTCCTTGCTTCACTAATGCTGTTAAATCCTCCATCTGTTTCTGCAGGCCTGATAGATCAGCTTCATTCATGTTTTGATTCTCTTTGTCATGCCCTTTGCTTGCCAGAACCGAGGCTCTCGATACCAATTTGTGATGAACGAGATAATGAAGAAGAGAAAAGAAAGATTTCAGAGGAGAAGCAGAAAAGGTTTAAGAAATTCAGATTCATTTCAATGAAATGATGCATAATCCTTCCTTTTCCAGGTACAATTATTTTTTACCGTGTACTACAAATCTAACAAGCGCTGGCTTAGATTCTAACTAATTCTGTTACTGCATATTATCTTAGGCTTCTCTGGTGGACTTCTCTGTTGGGCTCAAGGCTGCTGGGTCTTCAAACATTAATTGGGTTTAATGAACCCGTGCTCCTCACGTGACCTTCACTTCATCAGGTAACAATCCCAATTCCTTCAGCAATCCCTAACCCTCGTTTATCATTTTCCCCAATTCTCTCTTCACCTCCCCGATCGTCTTCTCCTCCTTCCTCATCTCCTTCTCCAACCATGACACAATCCTTCTTCCATTAGAGTCAGTTTTATCCAAGGATGTCTCTGCTATGACTGAAGCAATGGCTAGGGAGAGAGAGACCAAGATGGAAGTATCTCCAATACATGGACAAGCAATATTCCAGTCTTATGGCTTAAGAGTTAGGGAGACTTGCCAGACCTTCAAGCCTTTGTTGCCATCACTTACCTTTTCTGTGAAGGAACTATATTCCAGTCTCAATATTGAAATATTTGTCTTGTTTGACGAGTAGATAAGGATTACCTTTTCCTTTTAAAAAAAAATGAATTAGAGTTCCCTCTATTTAGTTCCATTGGTGTAACCTATTTATGTTTGCAGGTAAAAATTCTTACGCAATGTCAGTCCTAAGACGCGTAGAAATGAAATTAGATGGGCTAGACATTACAGATAGAAGGTATCTGCTTTGTTTCGAGACTGGAAAGAGGTATCGAGTGAAATATGTATTAACAGGCAATTCTTTTGTACCTCTTCAGGGAACTTAGCATTGCGGAGCAAGTGGATTATCTATTAAAGCAAGCTACGAGTGTTGTTAATCTTTGTAGCATGTATGAAGGTTGGACGCCATGGATTTGAACTTCGAAGTCTTTCTTTTCAAGGCGGTCTCAACTATTGGAGGCACTTCAATTACTTGTCACGTGGTCTGACTATGCTTCAATCTGGAAGCTTTAACACAAAGGAGGCATAGGAACGATGGCAACTTTTGGTTTTATTAAAAATGAAAAAGAAGCCCAGGTCCCCAATGCAGAACGAACCCGAATAGAGTCAGGGCACGTGCTCCAACCCTGTTTCACAATATATCTCGACAGGTGGTGCTATAGCATCAAGTGTGGATAGCCATGATTTTGGTTTCCTCTACCTCTGGCGTATCAGCGCCCGACGAAGTTACAGCAACATCGGACATCATTCAGATGGGAACTTCGGTGAAAGCCACATACATTGTGGTTTAAAGTTGATCGGCGATTGACATGGAGATAAAGATTAGTTTCATGATTTATGAACATTGGCCAAATGCAAACCAAGCAAGCCAATATTTTTATGGCATTTCCATCTTTGCTGTCTTAGAAGATGTCTCTTTCACTTTTATCATATCCACAGTGAATAAAAAGGAAGAAATATGAAAAAGATCTGTATGCACAATGCCCATAGATTGGTCTTTATATGTACAGTCATTAATGATGGGTTCTTATATTATATCGCATATTTAAAGTCGTGGTATTCGGCTTTAGTGGGCAGGCCTCTTGATGTTTCCTAAAGTGTCAAACCCACATAGAAATCTGTAAATAAAAAAAAATAAATAAACTTTCAAATATGCTTTACCATTGGGGCCACCAGAAATGTTCAATTGTAGCCAACAGATCTGTAACGTAAAGCCACACCGGAGCAGTTACAAGGCCCAAGTTGTCTATTTTGCTGCTTAGCTTGGCAAAATTGGCCCAATAAGGTATATGGGTTTTTATTTAGCCCATTAGGACAAGTAAAAATTTATTTTGGGATCTATGGTCTTTTCTACAGTGACATGGAACTCGTCATGTCAAGATGACGAATTTTAATAAAAAATATTTTTTTTCTAACTTTTTATCTCGATGTGATAGATTTTAATAAAGAAATTATATTTTATTTGAATTCATTAATTCGGCGTAACGAGTTCGAATAAAAAATATATTTTTATTGGAACTCGTCACCTCGGAGTGACGAGTTCTAATAACACTGTAAAAAATATCGTATATCTCAAAATAAATCTTTACTTACCCTAATGGGTTAAAAAAACCTATTATCTTTATTGGGCTAAATCAGCCGCTTAGCTCCTGGCCACATGAACGAATCCAAATATGCCAACTCTTCTAGAGGAAACAAAATCTAGGTGCTACAACAAACAAAGATACGATTATTATTGTAATACATAATTTTTTTAATAGTTTGAAATGATTATAAGATAATATATATACATTTTCTTAAGATATTGACAAGATATATAAACTCTATAGATATAATTTCTCGAATCCAAAACCCTAGGAAGCACAATGTTGTTGTTAATGGATTTTATTATTATAATATTTTAAAAAAAATGAGAGTTTGAATTGATAGGTCCTATTATTGTAATATTAAAAAAATATGAGAGTTCGAATAATTTTTTTAAAAAGAAATCACTAATTTTATTAAAAATAAAAATATATTTTAAATTACAATAAAGATTTATAATCATAATTGTAAAATAAGCACATAATTAGGACAATTTTTTATAATCATTAAAACAAAACTATCAACTTAAGATCACATAAGGATCATACAATAAAATATTAAAATCTAACAAAAAAACTCGAATAAAGATCTATACAAACAGATATGATCACATTGACAAATGAACCAAAAAAGAAGATTAAGCAACTGAAAGACCACCGACAAACTAAAAATCAGACTCGAGTGACGTGAAAAACTATCTACAAACGCATAAAGGGTATCCAAATCCAATCCGAGAGTCCAAATGAGAGGAGATCAACAATATAACATATAAGCGTCATCCTCAGCAGTCATGGCGATATCAAATAAACACTTAGAAAAAAATAAGTGAAAAAACGTCCAAATAACCGAAAAACGTGCCAAAAAGAAGAAGAAAAACATGACATAAATGTATAGTAAAACGTATTATACAATCAAACTTTTTGAAAATAAAAAACAAAACAAAATAAAGATAATATAAGAAATTAAAATTACAATAAAAAATATCGACGGTCGATAACCAACATTAAAATTAGTGTTATCGTCGATCAACAAAGATAAAAATAAAAAAAAATATGAACGGCTTACCAATGAGAGAAAGCTAAAGTTTGAATACATTTATGTATATAATTATTTAGGGATTTTGATAGATTAATATTATATTAAAAACAAGATAATGGTAATTTAATTATAGTTTTGATCATTGAGCTATGCTTTAAAGTTGGAGTTTAGTTTTATACTCCTAGTTAGGGGTGAACAAAACTCAACTCGACTTGAAAAATAATTTTTTTTAATTTTGAGTTATTCAAGTCACCTTGAATTATAAATTCGGTTTTCGAGTTCGAGTCAAGTTGAAATATCAAAATTTTGACTAACTCGAAAAACCAAAAATTTGGATGAGTATTTTGACAGATTTACGATTTAGTCCTTGATTTCCTATTCCTTCAATTCTTCCTTCATTCTAAGTCAATTTGTTTTTACCAAATTTGAACCACACACTCCTAAACCATCATAAAATACATATGTACTTTCAATTCAAATTTTATACAACAAAATTTTTATTTTTTTCAATTTAGTCCCTATATTTTGCATGATTTCCATATTTCTTCAATTCTTTTTTTTATTTATAAATTGTGAGTTTTATTATCCAAAGAGAACAGAATTTTGCTACCGCTAATACAACATCTAGGCTATCCATATAAAAAAGAGGAATACTTTAATGAATCTTCTACCTTGTATATTTCTTCAATTCATTTTTCATTTTAAGTACTTTTTTAAACCAAATTTAAACCACATACTCCCCTACCACTATAGAATACTTATGTAACTTCAATTATTATTATTTTTACTAAAAATATACTCTTTTTAATTTAATCCTTTAACTTTGTATTTTACTCAATTTAGTCTTTTGACTACAATTGTCTACAAATTCTTTCTTCACATCAATTCTTTAACTATTGTATACTCCCGTTAATCTTTTATCCACAAAATACATTCTTTAAAATATAATATTGTAAATACATTTTATAATTTTAGATTGTATGTGATATATTAAATAACATGATAATGTGAAAAAATATGAAAATATATATATATCTTATATGGTTAGAGAAAGTCGAAAAATTGGAATAAATTTGTATTATAATACTACAGATAATTACAATTAAATTTTTATAGAAACTCGAACAACTCGACTCGAGTTTCTTAAACTCGGTTTGACTCAAAAAAATTTCAAGTTAAGTTCGAGTTATAAAATATGACTCGAATAATTCAAAAAATTTTGACTCGACTCGATCGAATGCTCGTCCCTACTCTTAGTTAAAAAAACAATAAAAAAAGTCAGTGGGAAAACTTAAAGGAGATCATTTTTTTAGAGAGAAAAATTATAGGATTAAATCTTAAATTTGAAAATAATATAAGGATTAAAGACCAAGTAAGGTACGATATCTATGTAAGTGGTGGTAGCCATTGACAGTCGTTTTTATATTGAAGATGGTATGACCGTTATACAGGGGAAACTTCCCCACTCGAGATATTCATTCCCAGGATTTGGGAATATCCTTTTCTTCCATTTGAACTTGTATCTAGGGGCGGACCACAAATTGGTTCTCTCATATTGGAATATCCTTTGTTTAATAGTCTAATACTCATTTTCACGTGGGTTTTCTATTTCCAGTGAGTCAATAACCCACAGATTCGGCACCACCAAATGAAAACTACAGGTGATTTTCCAAACACCACACCTCAGAATTCTCATTTTCTTCTATATTAACCCTTCTGCTTCCCCTCAGTTTCCTCATTAAAGAAACAGAGAAAAGCAAACAAATTCATTCAAGCTTTGGTGGCAAAAAATGTCTGCAGTAGTTGGTGAGTTGATGGACGAGGTAGCAGCAAAGCTTAAAGCGAAGGTTCAAGCAAGAAATCCCTTCATGTCGATAAGGGCTAAAAAAGAGCAGCAGTTTGCCAAGGAAGGTTGAGTAGAAGAGGAGGAAGCTTCTAAAGATGATACTAACGAGTCTACAATGTCGGAAGCTACTGTCTGTATGCTTATAGACCGGTTTGGCCCTTGGTGATTGACCAGAATTAATAATGTAACCAAATTCCATTTTTACATAACTTTTGTTCAACTCTATGCTATGATTGTGATATGTAAATTATAATTGTTTTATTGTTGATTTTGTTCATCGTTAAGTTTATGGCAGTTTTGCTTTGAATGTTCCTTTGTTTTGTATCTTATTCCCCCAGCAAAGTAATAATTTTTTTTATTGGGAATCTGGTAAATACAAGAAATTTAAAAAGTGTTTACAGTGATTCATGATTGGTATGTGATTTTGAACAAAATAATAATAAAGGAATTGATAGTTGCAGAAAAGATTTTGTTTGGGGCCTAAGAATCTGATATTTTTACATCTATTTTCTAGTTTTCTTTTATCTGTAATCCTTGCAAGGAAGCTAAAAAAGGGTCATGAAGTTGAGCTTGCTTCTATATCTGTAGACGACATCTCGACGTTGATGAAGCTGTTGTCGTTGTACTCCCAATTAAGAATGTCTCCGGTGTACCTGAGAGCTTCATCGACAGAATCGGGCTCCAAGCCTGTAACCATGGAGACGTACAGCTTACTATCCGTAAGCGAATTGAATAGCCTCTTGAACTTTACTGCAATGTAGTGGAAGGCACGCTGTGCTAGTCTAGCATGCTTGTTTCCATCATTGCTGCAGTTGATGTTGGACGGTTGATTATGGCTGATAACAGGGTCGAAGTCATGGAACCACTCGCATCGAGTCAGGGGAGCCTGCTCGATTTTTTCTTCGAGCAGGTCGGCTTTGTTGAGTATAAGAAGGAATTCCTTTTGCTCGAATGCCGGATGGGTGACAATACTTTCAAACAGTTGCTTGCTTGCCACCATTTTGTTTACCAGAACTCCATTACTGTCTAATGAGAACTCGTCGTAGTCGGTCAAGGAGACGCAAAACAGGACGATATCGACATCTTCGAACATCCCTACCCACTTGCAGTTCTCCCCAAGGCTACTGGGATGCAATCTAATAAGTTGGAACCTGCAGATTCGGAACAAGTCATGTTAAGCAAGATAAATATATGTAATTTAGTTTGTAGTGTACGACTTATGCATAGAATGGAGTATAACTAACCTTGCTGATGGATCATGTTGATAACCATCAACAAAGCTCTCTCTATCTGATGTCGGAAATGAGAATTCCATGCAACATAGTCCGTTGGACGACGCGAGTCCCTCAGCATTCAAGATATCCATATCCGAGGGCTCGTAATCCGTCTTTGAAATCTCAACAGCCTGAGAAGAAGATGAAGTTTACACTATAAGAATTGCTAAGAAGATCAAGTGCTTTTAGTTTTATTATCAAGGGGGGCCGGCTTACCCGTTCTA